CGTTGAACAGTGGAAAGTATCCTTGCGGCTTCCATATCTTATCTTATGCTTTCGAACCGCAACAAACAAAAGCCTTGAGAATCTTATTAGAGCTTGGAAAGTGCACATCCCTGCGCTTGCATTGATTGCCTCAATGTGCAAAAAAATCCCCTTGGACTGAAAAGAGTTACCATCCAGAGGAGCTAACATGAACCAATTCACGGTGATGATTGGGACATTGGTGTGTTGAAAACTATGTCCCAGTCATCACACACCCACCTCCCTTCCAGGCCCCAGCTACCTTCCAGGGTGAACGGTGCGAAACTGCACATTGTGTCTATATCCATTCGTGACTAGGACCGTGTCTGCCTCAGTTCATGGACGTGACTCTAGTTGTGAAAGAGTCCAAAAGTAGTTGTGTGGTGGTGATGATCAGCCAAGTACACACAGCATTATGCCCGCCACCGGTAAGGGAAACTGTCACGGATGGGCTAGGTACAGCTAGGGATTATGCTCTCTCATTGCTGTCATCATACATATCTTAAAGCACCGCCCGGGTTCAAAAATGGTAAGTTGTGGGGCCCAGTACTAATGACAAGCTAGTAAATTATTCAGCAATGAACAAAAAAGCGGAGGAAGTCCGCCGGAAGTGCATCCTTTAGAATTTGAACCCTTTCTACAAGCAAAAGTGAAGAAACAGCGTTTTTGGACGAGTTCCAACTTCTACATACCATGGGGATATCAGCTCTTTCATCTTTTCACACCACTCCCACCATTTGGAATGGAGAGATGGACACGATACACATCATTCGGACATCATTCGGACAGGGCACATCATTGGTTGGGGATCTTAGTCGACTCTATACGACCCCCCAGTAGCCCTCTCTCCTTCCCTCAGCGAATCGAGTCGTCGAGAACGATGTGCCCTGCCAGGGAACAACCGCTCCATCGGGTAGCAGTCAAAATGAAAATCGGTTGTCGCCGTGACCAGGGGGCGGGGCCGTGGTTCCGTCGCGAACGGCCGGCGCTTCCTCATTATTTTCAAACTGCAAAATTGGTAAATCCTCCATGCTTGCAGGCAGGACTGCCATGTCCAAAGAAGTGACTGAACATCAGATGAACGCGGGACTTGCCTTTAATTCAAAAAAATAAGGATACTGTAACGAAGCGAAAGTAATTGTGCCACTTTTGAACTGAAGGTGACTTCGTAATATGCGAACTGACAGCACCATTCCTTACAAGACAAGCAGTAGGCGAAAGTAAACCTACTGAATTTTCCCTGCTAATCTGATGCTTCTGAAAGAGTTTTCTTTCTTAAGCTGTTATAGCCATGAGAGATGAAGAAACACTGGTACAGACTAGGCAATCTTTATCAGCTGGAATGTTCTTGTTATGGAATTATGATATCAACGATTGAGCAGCATGTGAATGATCCGACGTTTTCAGGAAGCAGCATGGAATTTCGACACTCATCTTGTACATTTCCTGTATTTTCTATAGGGAAGCGTGTCCTTGCAGTGGAGTCACATGCAACGTCTCTTCTCCGCAAATAGCACATCTGGCAGATTCCGTTGGCATACGTGACTTGACGCACCAGTAACATGCGATGTGACGACAGCCGTGGGAGCGCATTGGCACCACCGCAACTTGGCCGCATCGGCCACAAGTCAGCGCCACACCTCTAGTCTGTTCGCCTCCGTTGCCAGTTCGCGTTTTCCATTTTTCCGAGACGACCGCTATAGCGGGCCACAGTAAGAGCAGTGCGTCACGGAACGTGTGCCAAAGTAGTTCCCTGTTCTGTGACTCGTAGTTGATTGTGCCTATAACAGTTCTTCCATTTACTTTCACTATATGCATTTCATGTTAGGTTATAGATTGACGACAAGGAGGTGCTCTATGATTTTATAAGTTTATGTAATCAAATTGTAGTCCACGAAGGTATGAACGATGCTCTCACTGAATTCAATAAAAATATTTACAACGGGATGTGTTCACCCTTCCAACAACTCTGAAAAACAGAGATACCCAGTTGAACAATATGCGCAGGTATCGCTTACCTATCCCAGCTCAATACATCAAGGTCTGCAGGGCCAGCTTATGATATTCTGAGGGGATCTGTTGATAAAATCTGTTCACTCAGGTCAGCTCTGGTCCCACAGACGATCGTTCGTCACAGACTAATTTCAGTTTTGCAGGACAAGGGCGATTTGGGAGCGAGACATTGGTAGCAGTAACTAACAAGGGAGTCCAGGCCATAGAGCTCATTTGAGAAACGCTTTTTTGCATGTTGCACAGTCTTCGCTGCGGATGCTGAGGCGCGTCAAATGAAGGGAGCGCGAGTTTGGCAAGGTACCTAGTTCCCTGACTTGCCGAGCATCAGCAGCCAACAAGGCTATAGGGGTTCATGCGGAGCGGCAAAGGTGTATTTCATGTTCACTACGCGCTTCCGGAAGTGCCAAGAAAGGAACAGTTAGTTCGGTCCAGTTCGGCGACGGGAGGGAGGGGGCATTTTGCATTTCGCTGCTTCACTGATTCCTGTTTACAAGTCTAACTCTGGTGAAACCTGTGAACTCTTTTGAATTTGGAGTGAATTTGGAGCAAGCTCGTCCAGCCATCATGGTGTAACCTGTTAACTCTTGTAAGTTCACGGAGTGGCTCTCTATATGGGTCGACACGTCGATGAGAAGTAGCAGATGTGCAAAATGCTCCGCGTTGCCGAACTGCAATTCTTGTTTTCTAGACGAAAAACCCACGTGTTTTTGAACACTATTCCTTCGAATAAGAGGTTCCCCTTATATAAACACAAGAAAATAAAAACTGCAGATATTTGAAGTTTTTCACCTAGGGGATTTGAACTATCAGCCTACTGGTCCGCTTTTCGCTGGTCTTACCGGAGACGTGCAGCGGTAATGAATTAAACTTTCGCGGTCCCCGTATGAACCTCTACAACATGCAACAAACCATTTTAAAATGGCCTCCACGACCCAAAAGAACACCTCGTAAGTGCGTATGAAGACTGCTGCACTTGTTGTGCTTTGGACTGAAATCCATCAGGTTTCGCCCGTAGCGTGACTGCGTACTTCCCTTAGATGTGGCGGCAGCTGCGTCTTTGATGGGATATTCTCACTTTGAGACAGTTGTAATCGGTTACGTGACAACTAGAACGTCTGGTGAAAGTCCTGGCGGAGAAAAAGAGCGCAGAGAAATAAGAGGACGGCGGCTGTCAAGGCACCGAAAGGTGTAAAAAACATGTCGCGAGCTTCGAAATGAATTTTTTGAGAGGGAGCAAACTTTGGGGTGGATGAGCCACTTATCATGTGTTCATAGTTGGGCCACAGTATTCATACAATGTAACAGAGACGTGAGAGCGCAGAGAAAAACAGAAAGAAGACGCGGCTAAAGGGAATGTTTTGAGTTGTCCATAGACCTTGATTGATGCCGTTTGGACGCGCTCAGTTTTGACTGCTGGTGGCTATGAAGTGTTGTGACCGTCATTATGTACAGCCCTCCTTACTCCTCTTCCCCACCCCTCAGCGCCAAGGCTGAGCTTGGTAGAGGGAGTGACTCCTCTCATTCTAGTCTCAGCCTTAACAGAGCACAGATGATCGTAGTGCCCTCCATTGGCGCCAGCGCCAAGAATGAATGTCAGATTCGTAATCAGCGTCAAACCCCTGTATACCTGTTTTCAGCGGATCTGGTGATCTAGGCCCTTCATAAATGAGCCAGCAGCCAAAATTGAGCGCGTCCAAACGGCATCAGTCGTACACCCGACGCCATGGTCAAATACAGTAAGCAGCCACGCCTACCGCGTCTTAGCAATGGTGTAGTCAGGGCCGGGTGGTAAGAACACACTCTGTGTGCCCGACAAATGGTATGGATTATGGATGGATTCGATTCTTCGAACGTCCTGCAGGTCCCTTCACGACAACCCGTACTCTTTGCCCCTCAGTAAATGTGAAATCCCTTTGCATCGATGCGATCAATCATATTTCGACTCATTTTTTTGCGAGAATGATGTTACGAACCAATAGTAGGAGGATTATTGTTCCAGTTCCTCAGATTCAAGAATGATTCAACAAGCGTACTGTATCCACCAACACGGAGAAAATTCAAGTAGTGAAGAACACGGATCGCCTGAAATACGTCACATATCACGCTCTGTAAACTGGAAGTGATTTTTTTACTCTTTCCTCCTTTGCACATTGTACCATGGCGACACGAGTGAAGCGATCCTCTTAGTGGGTAGGGTAGACTGGTAGGCTGATTAACCAATGGTGAAACGGTCAGAACAATCGCAACTTGGCGCGCGATGGATGCAGCAACTTCTTTATTTGATTAGCCCAACCATTGAAGCCTTGGATTTCCTCTAGATTACGACGTCGTTGGCATTCGTGGATATTTTTGGTGGCACATTACTAATTGCCACTGTCTATGACCTGATAAAATCGCCATTTATGGGCGCGGCGTAGCACGCGACGCCCAACCGCGCGATGATTTACGATTGTCTTGTCGCATAGCCCTCCCAACGTAGGGGTGTGCCGAACCCGCAGGTCGAGTGCCAGGCCGAATGATGAGGAGAATTTAGGCCGTTTAGTACAGAGCCCTTACCCGCTACCCTATGTGACAAGACAATCGTGATACGCCGCGCTGGTGGGCGTGGCGAGCGACGCCGCACCGATAGACGAATTGTACTGCCTAGCCGTTCGAAAATAAGAGAGGAACAGGAGGATTCAACATCCCCATCTTCGAGTTTTGTCTTTGCTTGGATTCATATGAGCTCCTTTGCTCCGATCGATGGACTGATGCACATCGAGAATTTGCTGTGCATGACTGCACGATACGTCGCGCGCGGCGACGTGTCAAACTACGATTCTTGTCAGCCCACTCCCTCCCTATCCATCCACTAACCCCTTCAGCTAAGAGTCCAGCATACACTGCTTCAGCCCTTTCACTCACATCCTTACCTCCAACTTCCTATTAAAATTCCGCCAACCCGGGAAGCACCTTCACACTGAGCCCCAGAATAGTTTATTTAGAAAATTATCAGACATTCATGAGTCGTTGGAGGCTATTTTTCAGATAAGCATTTTTACCTCAATCATGGCAGTTGTCTTCGAAACAAACATGTTAGCTGCCGAGTGCTCCAACAAAGACGATGCGCGCGTAGCAATGTATGGCAGAACCATGGACAGTAGGAAATGTAGTGAAATTTTCATAGGAGGATATTCTTTGTATGCAATATCCACCTCGATTTGACCTGCGGAGGCTCCTAAAAAAACATCAAAATTGCAGGCCATCATAGCTGCTCCTCACAGAAATGAACCGATGTTTCACTATATAAATAAGATTTCATCTCCACAGCGACGACTGCGTTAAACGTTAGTATTTCCAGGCAGCGTTCATACTCAGCGTTGCAGGGTGTAGTGTGGGAGATCCAAAATGCGACCAAAACAGCGTCGCAAGCGATGTCGCATGCGTGGCAGACGCGCCAAGGCGGCACTGTTTCTACGTGGAAGTGCTGCAGCATTTTGAGTCAAGCTGGGAAATACTTTGTCAATTTCCGACAGGGCACGTTCTCCAGTTGGGAGAATCTTTGCAAACTACTACCGCTCCCCCAATGTTTTTTGCACTGGTACGACCTCCTTTCCCGTCCCCTATTCTACTGACCATCTCTTTGAATTTTCCGAGCTTACTACCATTTTTCCGGAGTCTTTTCCGGAAAATCTCTGCTCTTTCTCCGGGAAATAAAGAGCTGAATTGTTTTGGTATGATAACTGCTGTTTTACGCCGCAAAGTTCGCGTTCCGAAAGTTATCACAAGAATGCTGAGTTGTGGGCAAAAGTCGTGCCCCAGGCGGGAGTCGAACCCGCACCTCACGCTTTCCGGCATAAAAGCCGTTGAGCTGAGGAGTAAAAGCGGCCCTGGTGGCGTAACGGATAGCGCACTCGCCCGGAAAGCGTGAGTGCGGGTTCGACTCCCGCCTGGGGCACGACTTTTGCCCATAACTCAGCATTCTTGTGATAAAGAGCTGAATGTCTGATCACAGAGGCTGGATTGTGGTCGACTTTCCCCGCGAGACTGAATTCCTGCTGCTCGAGTTATGTCCGATAAACTGAGGATGGTCAAGAGGGTGTGCGCATGGGTACCTAATTTTCTTGTAGAAGCACGAACGCAGTACCGATTCTATGCCTCTAGCAGTAATGTTCTCAGCATAAGATGTCATTCACGACTGTGAAAACGCACCCCGGCCCTAGATGAAATATGGGTGGTCTTGGACCTCGAGCCAAAACTCACAATCGTCAATTTTGTATGAATGCAGATGAGAAGCCGCCCGAGTTCTACCATGAAGAGTTACGTGGGCCCAAGTGGATGATCATCATAGCGAAGGATTTCTGCACTGTGGCTTTCAAGCGGCTCTATACAGAGAACAAAACCGTCGCTGTCGGTGTATATTGCCTGTTCCTCGACAATCAGATCGACAAATGGATGGTACCACACAACTACAAGAAGGCCACCGTTGCTCGTCACAGTGCCAGCTCCCGACCGTATTATTGGGCAGTGCTCGGACACGAACAATACTGAGAGCTGGGTTCAATCGCCTTACTCGCCAAGCTGCAGCCCTGAAATTGTACCTGTTCCGGTCAGTGGAAGAAAGTGCGCAACGGCGAACGTTACAGCATCTTGTCGATCGCTTGAACTTACACCAACAGCACTTACTTGCAGTTGTCCAAAAAGCGGTGCCAGTGGTCCAAACGCTCCCGGGACACTGGGGACAGGTCAATGAAGTATAGTTTTTTTTATCTTTTCTTCAAATAAAATCTTCCGCGTTTTTGAATGAGATGACCTGATTCATGGAGCTTTTCTTTGCGTGGGCTGAGTATGAACACGGCAATGACAAACGAAATACTCTATTCTATCTTTCATCTTATTTTGTCTTGATTTTATCCTACGATGATTTTCTGTTCCCTTCTCTATATTGTTGTCACTGGGTCCGTGCATTGATAAACCCCACCTCTGTAAACTCTATTTGTCCATATCAATCCATCGATCAGCAACTGGATTTCCGGCCTGATCCGATCGCATATCTGGCTGATTGCAACTGGAAGTTCTGCGACGAGACGTTCAAACTGCTGCTCCATCAACTGCCGATATTCGCCATCCAGTATGTTCGCATCCACTTGTTCCACACGCAGCGATTCACATGCCATCTAAGAACCATATGTACCAGTACTACTTAGAATTATCAGATCAACAGTAGCTGAAGCCAGAACTTCACTGTTGAAACGCCTTCCGCTCATCGCCGTGAACCCGATGGATTTTCAGTAATACATAAAAATACTCATAGTAGAAACCCGCGTAGCTGCACTGCTGCTTTATAACATTTTTGATAAACGTTTTATCTGAATTAGATACACATAATGCTTTACTTCACAAAAGTCAATCTCACGAAAACCTTATACGCTTCGATGCATCCCAAAGCGGTGAGTAAGATTTGATGACAATATTCTCTGATTTGTAAGACAACCTTTCATGACATTGAATTTAATAACAATATTTAGCAGGATATTTCGATTGATATTTGCACAATTGTACGTAAGTGTCCACAATTGCCATTTCTACTCAAATGTCGACCGAAAGTTTCACGTACACAACGAAGACGAATATATCGAAGATGAATATATTACGGTCAAATTATGAACAGGACAATAATTTAAGAAACATCAGAGCAAACAAACAACAAGCAACCCGACGAGCGGAACGCTCACATAGATTTGAGGTCAACTCGAGGGTGAATAATGTTAAAAAAAACTTCAACTATCGCCCGTACTGCTTGCTATTAAAATCATCAACAGAATAAAATGATGCTGCCACTGAACGACCTCCGAAAAATCGACCATTCATTACCACAAAAGCTTTAATGGCTTGTGCAATATTCGTAAACTCAACGAAGATTCGAACGGCGATGTCATCGGCGACACCATCCATCTGAAAAACACTTGTTAAATCCCTGAGCTTCATTGTATTTAATCTGGCTATAGTGAACCGGATCGGAAAGCTCTTCTTCCCACTGAATCTTTATTATTTACCGACAATCTTTGCTATTTAACGACGTTTCGCGCCCAAGCCCTTCAACTCACTGAACTGTAAAAACAAGCAAAATCATACACACGCACAACTGTTACAGCATCGATAGTCATTATAAAGACAGCAAAACCTATTGGGTTGTCCTCAAAACTTTGAGAAAATTTCGCACCCTTGATTTGAAAAATCCTAGCAAGCGACTGCCCCAACACAAAGTCGTAAGTTAGGTACTGTGAGACAGAGAAATGTTTGAAGATCAATCCTAATGCTGGTTGGTGTTATTATCCATCGAGGTTACGTATTGACATCACCTGAAAAATATACTGGCGCGCACAACTCCCAACCCCTTCGATTCATCTTCACCGTTCGGTTGGTCTATCGGTCGAATCGGGAATGAAGCAACGTCACCAATGCTGGATAAAACCCGCTTAAAAATTATCTTAATAGGAGATCAATCGTTTTTTTAAGTGGCTTGGATTCTGCGTACATCCCCGCAATCTCGATACTCGCTTCGTTCTAGCATGCAAATAAGAAAAATATAGAGATCGCCCAAAATTAAACTAAATGGGATGGACTATGTTTATTATAACCATGAATTTCTATCTCTTACGATAATAAATGTTAAATGAACAGTATGAAATTTCTCAAAACTTTCCGGACACCCTAGAACGTCAAATTGTGAGGGAGGAAGACGAGGGATGGACAAGTCTTATTGAGCGGGTGTTGGCAGAAATGGGAAGTGGTTTATATAGTCATGTGCGACGAAGAATGATCTACGGATTCTTCCTAGTGCAGGTTCTGCACTGATATCAAACTGGATAACGTAACAATACCTGCATTACCGTTCGCCCTATATAATTACATAAACTTAGAACAATAACGCTCTCTATTACTGCCAGGGTCCGCACAATGAGGCTTCGGTAACCCCGTCGTCGTCCTCTTCCCAGACAATTGAATATAAGTTGTTGCTGCTTTGATAATTACTACCGATGTTGCAAGTGTGTAAAATTTTGCTTGTTTATATTATTAAGTGACCTGAAAAAGGGTCTAGGCCCAACATCGTCAAATAATAGCATTCATTAGAAAGAGCTTCCCAATTCCATTCACTACAGTAAGAACTTGAACCCGATGATTTCAGCCCCCAGGTGGGATTTGTCCACTCCGGCTACACAAGTGGACCCGCGAATCATATAGCAGCCAAATGAGCGGCTAATCACAAAATGAATGTAATCAGAAATGAAGAACAAGAAGAGGAATGAAGAACAAGAAGAGGCGAGTGACAGGTTGTGTTTTCGGCTTCTTGCTCAAGGATCATTTTTGTGATTGCGGCCTAGATAGCTCTACAAGTACCCAATTTTCGACAGCTATGTAACGGGGCCACGTTGGGCCGCGTTCATAGTTCGTCAGTCGAGAGAGTGAGCGCCAACAGACGGAACTGACTGGATCCCACCACCACGGTTCTCAACAGGAAGGAGCGGTCACTTATCGACCATCCTTCATCCGCCCAGATGTGGAATGAAGACTCATACCTTTCCTTTTCTAGTGTTCTGCACATTCAATTATGAACACGGCTATAGTATGCATAGTATAATTGGCATTGGCAAAGGAAAAATTCCAAGATGGTAGAAATAAGGAAAAATCGAACCTTATGGATAACTACGGAGGCAACTTGACCATACTTGGCCATCTCTTCGCGAATTTCTGGTTCAAGCTCATCGTCCACTTCATCAGGGCCAACCATATTCTGAAAGCAATTATACCAAGAAACTAATTCCCCTCGGCAAGAGTGCAAAATGGAGAAAGAAAAAAACTTTATTAGCGCTGGTCACACTACTCAGGAATTGAATTCTAGCTTTTACAGAAGCGGATATATAAAATTGGTGTTAGAAAGAAGCTAAAATAAAAAAAAACTAACAGTCAGCATTAGCACTTTTGTAGAGCTCTTCATTGCCTGAGCCATGTTGATTGGTGCAACACCCATTGGAGTGGCTTGTGCAGGTGGCGTGGGTGTATTTCCTGAATTAATTATGCAACGTTCGAGAACGACTACAGGGTGCACTGGTGAATACCTTGACTCTCGTTTATGATGAGCCCTGCGTTCTTCCCTAGTTTTTCAACAGAAAGAGCAGTACTCATTCCTTGCTCATCGCGACCTGTAAATTCAATTACATTTGCAATGCTTACCAAAACTAGACACTTTCGCTTACCAAGTCCACCACCATGCTTATAGCCAAACTTGCTCATTATGTTGGCAGCCACACCCAGACCTTTAGAAGTAGCCTTGCCGAATGAGGGTAAAAATGTTGGAGGTGGCATCGTAGTTGGCGGTGAATTCGACTCCTGAAGCGAAGTAAGTCTAGTATTGAAACTATTTGGAAATATGCATACCCTTGGAGGGGAAGGCGGCTCAAGGAGGGCTTGCGGTGGGGCGATGGCAGCTCCCTTCTGCCTCTTTCTTGCTTCTTCTTTGTGATCACGACTCAGCCTATAATCAAATTGTCTGAGGTCACTTGCAAAATAAATAAAGGAGCAGCAAATGCTGAGGTTCAGTGATACACAATCTGCAGAAACAAGATATAAGTGATTCTACTGATGAAGAGGTAGCAATTGGTACAGCCTTGTTCACTTGTGTGATGGGGCGTGCCAAGAAGGGTTTGGCGCAGCGCCAAACCCGTTTTTCGCCGGCTGTTCAAGCGAGGGGGCGACATGACTGTATCATATCGATCGTATCAGCCTTATTTCGCCACTTGTTGAAGCGGGTGAGCAACCGTTTTTCACGAACTGTTGTCGCTCACCCGCTTCAGTTTGCAACCTAGTGCTCTGCATCATCGGTAGAACATGAGGGCAGCTTAGGATCTGAGGCGCTATCTAGTATTTAAAGCTGTTTGACTCGACGCAACACTTTGGGATATTTTCAAAAGCTTTATGTATATGGCTATATTTTACGTTTTATGCCACTTATGTGACGCAAGCCTACAGTCTTAGGGGCACATCCGAACACCCGAACATTACTACCCGGCGTTTTAGGAGTATCAGCGTTTTGGGCGAATTGGCGCTTGAGCGAAAAGAATAGTAAGGCATTGTTCACCGTCTGTGACACTTACGAAACGGCGGTTCGGGTGAAAAGCAAGAAATACGTACTGATCGGAGAATAGCCAACCTCATGAGAAAGGCCGCCGCGGTTTGGCGG